GAGGGCTGCTTCCTCCCTTTTCCCATCACCACAGTGTGTTCTCAAACTTTTGGATCTTTGCCATTCTGATAAGAGAAAAATGGCATCTCCGTTAAGTTTGGGTTTGCATTGTTATTATGAATCATTTGTACATACGTTTCTGTGAACCCACTTTTCTATCAGATTGTTGGTCTTTCTTTCAGTTTTGGAAGAGCTCTTTGTGTAGCAAGGAAATTTACCCTTTGTGATACAGAATGTAAATACTTTTTCCCAGTTAGCCATTTGATTTTTCACTTTTCTTGTGGTGGCTTTAAAATAAAATTTATTTGTGTGTATTTGAATTGATTACTCTTCACTTTTATGGTTTCTGGATTTCGTGTTAGAGCAACAAAGAAAAAAAGAAAACCCTTCCTCATTCCAGTATGATCTAAAAAATGTCCTGTGTTTCTTTTTTCTAATATTTTTATGGATGTGCTAGCAGCAGCGGTGATGGTTAGTGTGGGCAAGTTTTACACTTAATTCTTTGACACATCTGGAGTTTATCCTGGTATAAGAACAGAGGTTTGAATCCCAACATGCTTTTCTAATGCTTGACAGTTGTCCCCACACCATGTTTTCCCCACTGATTTGAAGTGCAACATTTATCAGACTCTAAATACCCATGACTCTTTAGGTCTATTTTCAGACTTTATGTCTCATAATTACACCAACTTAATTGTTGATATTCTGTAACAGTGCTCCCCCATCACATTTTCTTTTTCTCAGGCATTTTCTAGCTAGAAACAAACAAGCAAGAGCTTGTTCATTTTCCCACATGAACTTTAGAATAAATGGTATGTTGCTAAAGAAGATTCTATTGCTATTTTTTTAAACATCTTTATTGGAGTATAGTTGCTTTACAATGGTGTGTTAGTTTCTGCTTTATAACAAAGTGAATCAGTTATACATATACATATGTTCCCATCTCTTCCCTCTTGCGTCTCCCTCCCTCCCACCCTCTATTGCTATTTTTTATTGGGATCATTAGTTACAGATTAATTTATAAATGACGTTGCTCTGATGCTGAATCCATGTCTGTGAATGGTGCATCTGAGAATCTTTCCATACGTTTAGCTAATCTTTTGTGACCCCGGGAGCAACGTAACTTTTCTTCACATAGGTCTTGCACATATCTTGTTAATTTCTGGGTATTTGGCCTTTTGTATATTTGTTTCTACTGTAAACATAAGCTTTCCTTCCATTATTCTAATTCTAGTTTGTACATAAGGAAATGATTGGTTTCTGTATGTTAATTTGGAGCCACACCCCTTACAGAATTCTCTTCCTGTTTATTCTAGACTTTTTTTTTTTTTTGGCTGAATCTCTAGGGCTTTTCAAAAATGAAATCTTTTAATCTACAAATAGGATAATTATGCCCCTGCTTTCCAGTGTTTATATTCTGCTTTCTTTTCCCTTATCCAGCTGCAGTGGGAAATAATGGTAGGAGGGGGTAACATCCTTGTCCACTTCTCTGCTCTGATTGCTTCCAATGCTTCTTGACTCTTCTTACTATTCCAAGGAAAACATAGAAAAGGCTTTTGCACACTACTATGTATTACAGCACCGATTTATTTTTTTTTAAAAAAAGACTTAGTAAGAACTTAAATTATTAAAAGCAGAGAAGTTGAAGAGATTATAGGTCAGTAGAATATCACAAAGAGTAACAACATGGAAAATGATAATGTATAATTTAATTTGTAAAAACACTATCTAAAAATTGGAGATATAGTACAATTATAACTATCTAAAACTGAAAATTGGTGATAAAAAGGGAAAGAAGTTTACCAAGATGTTAACAGTGGTTGCCACTGGGTAACAGGATTAAAAGTGATTAGTTTTCCTAATTTTTCTTTTTTTTCCAAATTTTACATAATGAGGTGATATTATGCCATAGTGGGAGAAGGACTTTTGACCAAATTTAAGGACTAAAAGTGGAGTTGTAAGCAAGCTCTTTTGGGCATAGCTCAACATTAATCTCTACTTGAACCACTCCAAAGGGGGCAGATGAACCCTAAAGGAAGGGCAAACTCTGGGCAGTCATTGCGGTACCTTTTGGCCTTCTAGAGCAGCATCTAGAAACGTAATCTAGAAATGTTAATGCCAGCCATGTATGTGGTTTCTGATTTTCTGGCAGACACATAAGTAAAAAGAAACAGGTGAAATTCATTTTAACAATATCTTTTATTTAACCCAATAAAACCAAAATATTATCATTTCATTATGTAATCAACATAAATAATAATATTTTACATTCTCTTTTCCTACCAAGTCCGAAATCCAGTATGGATTTTACATTTACAGCACATCACAATTCAGGCTAGCTGTTTAATATGCTTACCATATGTGGATAGTGGCTAACATAGTGGACAGGGGAGGTCTAGACACTGCTCTGATTTGTAGATTTCCAGAAGAGACAGGTGTTGGAAAAGGTGCGCACCCGCGCGTGTGTGTAGACACAAGGCCAAACAAAAGGTGCCTGAAGTATAGCAAAACTCATGGAGGAAAAAAATTACCTAAAATAAAAATCAAGATTATGCGGGCTTCTCAATAATGATCCCTGTCTCCCACTCCCTACCCCACCAAATACCTTTCACTGAGCAAAGCCACCCAGTCTGGACATAAATATTTTTCTACTTTGCTACATAAAGGATAAAAACAGTCTTCCTCTGCCATGTATGGTAGGCAAGCCCAACATAGCAACCTTCAATCTAGAGTGTGAATCTTTCTGGAGGCATGTGAGGACTGCCCAAAGCAACATCTAGAGCCTTGCTGTCCAGTAAGGGGCTATTAGCCACATGTGACTATTTAAATGAACTGTAATTAAAAATTCAGATGCTCAGAGAACTAGCCACTTTTCAACTGCTCAATACCTACATGTGTTCTAGGCTACTTTTGGGGGTAGCTCAAAATCCCAGTCCTCAACATGTGCATGTGCTTTTGCCTAAAACCACGCAGCTGAAAAAGTCCTGGGACTCTCCTCCCAGGGTTTGAAGCTGCCTGGGTCTTTTCTATGACAGAGCACACCTCGTACTGGTATGGAGCCAGATGGATCAAAGACCCATTTCTACAAGGAATCCCCTTCTATTCCCACTATTTACCTGCATCTATAAAAAATGTAAAAGAAGTGTGGAAATGATGCTGAACATTTGCTCACTCAGAGCAGGCAGATAGCTAGATATGAGCAGAGAAAGGAGGGGCACAGGCCAAATGGCAGGAAACCATATATCTTCTGAACACCGGGGCTCCTTGGGCAAACAAAGAAAAGCAGGAACCTCCAGACTGACAGGAAACCACATATTTTGGGGTGATGTGTCCTGGAGGCAAAGAAAGGTGAGAAAAGGTGGGAATCTCCAAGGTCCAAATGTGACATTTTGCTCAATATACCCTCATTACAATAAAATTAGCCTTGCAGATAAAAAGTTCCCATTATGCACCAATGCCATGACACTACCGATCAAGGCTAAATAAGGACAAAAATCACTCCTCCCCTCGGGAAGGTGGATTTGGGATGAAAATCAGGAAATACGACCCCAACCCCCCCCTCCTCAATGAATATTCCTTCCATTTATTTCTGCACCCCACATCACCGGCTTGCCAAAGAAACTCAGGGTAGCTCCTCACCTGGGTCCGCCCGCTCTTCCGTTCAGAGCCTACTAGCTAGCGCTTAAACCCTCAGTTTCTTTCTTGACCTCCATGTCTCATCTCTGAATTTTTTCTGCCGTGAGACAAGAACCTACTCTCCTGTAACAACTACAGCGATAAGTAAAATCCATCCAAGTAACTTGCATATATTGAACTATTAAAAAATCCATCTTATTAAAAGTTGTGCTTCCAAAGCATTTTACTTTTTGTCTAAGAATTGATACTAATATTGTGCTATACACTTTTATTAATAATTCAGAAAATATTTAACACGAGAAAAAAATTGTAAACTAATTTTGTTATGGAAATGCATGCTAGGGTGAACGATAAGACTTAAAGCATAAAACTACTTTACATTAGAATCAAATTCAGTGATGCACATAGAACTAAAATATTTTAGATTAGGATAAAAACCCTGTGAGGTACATAAAGATATAGGTTCAAGGAAAATACCCAAAAAGATGTAAAATTCCTGACTATATAAAGTGGATAATAGTATCAAATCGTCACGTATAATAGTTGATAATAGTATCAAATCGTCACGTATTTAGAGTCCTTTGGATGCGTCTTAAAGAATGAGAAGCTGTTTGGTTGTTATATATTTTTTTAATGTCAGTATTCACAATGTGCCCTCAAGATGTCTTCTGCAATTACTTAAACTTAAGATAAAAGATATTTAGATGTTACTTTAAAAAAAGGATCGCTTTTCAGTCATTTCAAGCTGGGGTTTCAGAAGCCGACACCGGAGGTCACTGCCCCGCTGCCGCAGCTGCAGAGTTGGGGTCAGGTCTGGTCCCTGAGCTGCCCGTCCGGGAGCGCTTCGCTTCGCTCTGAGGGCAGGAGCTCTCCAGCCGCCGCGCCAGCCCCTGTTAAGACCCTCAGGGACCCCAGTCCCCGCCCTCTCCTCTGCCCTCATTCCTCCCTCCCGGGGTCGCCCACGCAGCCTCACTTTGTAACAAGTTACGTTCAAATACAGAGGTTATCAGGTGTTTATTCTACCGAGCCACTTATTTGCTTTATTGTCTGCCCCACCCCAGAACGTAAAGTCCTTGAAAACTGGAACTTCGTCAGTTCACCACCCTGCTCGCGCCACAACGAGCACTGAATTTATCTTAATAGTAAAGGAACGATACTCTCTCTGCGCCCACTCAGTCGCGGAGCGCCTCGGGTCACGTGCCCGAAACGGGAACTATCATCGAGTCAGTCCTCCAACCTCCCAGAGAGGACTCGGAAGTGCCCCAGAGCCGGCGTGAGTTATTCCGGCCGGGCCGTCAGCGCTTTTGTCCCGCCGGCGGCCGGGCTCCCGCGGTGCCCCCACAGCCAGTACGTGAGTCCGAGGCCGCCCGGGCTCCCGCCCCCGGCCCTAGCCTGCCACGCCCTTCCCTTCTTGGCAGGGTGCTAGCTACCCCTCGGGTCTCGGGCGGGATCCGGGAGGAAGCGCGCCCCATCCCCACACATACATCAGGAAACGCGTTCGGGGAAGTGGAGGGGAGGGAAGATTTCGGGCCGGCCGAGGGGTTTAGGGCTCGCCCCTGGAATATAACGGGCTCTCTGCACGCCCCACCTCCGGGCGGGTCCGAGGGGGTCAGGGCCGGGTTGGGGCTACCCGGTGCGTGCAGAAGGGCTGGGGCCCCGCACCCGTGTTTTTCAACTCTTCGCTGCTGTTTCGGGCGGGAAGGGAACACTGAAAATTAGTGCTTTAAAATAAGCCCCCGTGGCAGTTCAGTTTGGCCTTGGGATTTGAGAGTGAATACAAGCGTTGGAGGGACCCCCCCCCCCGCTTCATTTTTCTTTGATGGGGCAGTGATGTTGAGAGACTCTTACCGCAGGTGTGGATCGAGCCGCTGGGAGGCGCTTCTCGGCCTTCGCCCTAGGGGAGCTCACCTGTTTTACAGACAGGGGATCAGGCTGCCTGTAGATGCCTCTCACAAGATGAGAAGGAATTGACTAGGTACCAGGGAGAAGAAGGTCGAGGAGGCTCCTAGACCTGGGGACAGCCTGTGGGAGCCCAGGCGTGGGGATGTGAATTAGGAATGGGGAATGCCGGGGCTGGGTGTGCTGCTCTAAGACTTTTGGACTAGGAGGCCACCAGGAGTGTTTTCTTTTTGAAAACACGAGGATTTTTTCTTAAATAAGTTTTTGACTATGTAATGTATTCATATGGTTCAGATATTAAAAATATGAAAAGATGTCAGTGAAAAGGTTTTCTTCTGCCCAGCCGTCTGCCTAGGCCCAACCCCAGTAGATAACCAACCACATTTGTTAGGTTATTTGAGTCTATCTTCCCAGAGTTTCTTTATGCAAACACTGGCAGATCTGAATGTAGTTAGTTCCTCATTTTTTTACACAGGTGGTAAGGTACTGTTCAGAGTTCTGCCCCTTGCTTCTTTTGGTAAATCTATGTTAGAGGTCATCAGAACACAAACAGTTTTTGTTTTTGTTTTTTTAATACATTGTTGTGGTATTGGACTGGACATTGTTTGGATGTTTTGGATGTCCTGTAATTTTTTAGATCTATTCAGGCCATTTGCGTTGTTTCCAGTTTCTTTGTTACATCAAACAATGGCACACCCAGGGACATTGTACCAGGGCTTATCTGAGCAAGGGTTTTTAAAGAAGGGATTAACAATGATAAAAAAATTTTGTTTTACATTAACTCTGCCATTTATTGGTAGATTGTTAAATATGTCAATACATTATTATAATAAGTCATGTAGAGTGTTTAAGGAACAAATTAAACCGAGTAACTTTTCTCTCCAGAGACTTGTGTTTATGATACTTAGCCTTACAGTAGCCTAATCAACCATCTTTTAATGACTGCCTTCAAGCCAGTCTTTGCCCCTTTAGCTTCAGAAAATCTCCTTTGCTTACCTTATTCCTTAGGATGACTAGAAGTCTCTTCTCCCCTACCAAGCTTGAGAGTGCTCTATTTCATTTTTTACTTTAAGGAAAAATCACCTTTAATCATAAGGATTAAGCAGTAGAACCAACTTATGTTAACCAATTACAATTCTGATACTCGTAAACTTAATGCAGTAACTAAATCACAAATCGTACTCTCTCTCTGTCCATCTGCGTATCACTTTTCTCACTCCTTAGTCTCATCTTTCATTTGTCCCATCCTCCCACTTCTGTCTTCTGAGTTGGTAAGCATTTTGCCCTCACATTCCCTCTTATTTTCTCTTTTTCTTTCTCTGGTCACCTCCAAGTCCAGTATAATATCCAAGAACTTAAGACACATAATTCAGATGGTAGATTGATTTATGGAATATGGTTGGTACTCTGAAAATCCACGGTAGCTGCAGGTGTTGCACCTGTTGCTTATTGAATTGTGTTGTCAAGGGAGGAATTTTCAACCGGAGTGAGCCACAGTTCCTCTCTTGTGAGTTGTCTACTCTTGAGAAGTGGCTCCTGACTCTCCTGGGCAGGGATAGTAAGAGTTACGGACAGATTCTTACTATCTGTATGTTCTTTTCTAGGCATAGGTGGTAGAATATGAACAGCATGAAGCACACATTTTCCCGGAGGTGTGTAATTTGGAAGGAGTGGATGGCTTTCTGTGGCTGAAACTTTTAACTGATGTAACTAGGTTATTGGGATGTAACCAGTTCTCTCTCTGTTGAAAACTGATTAGAGAGGAGTTCCCCATCATCAGCTTTGAGAACTTTTAAGAAATTAAACCTGTCTGTCCCTCTCTGTATGCAGGAGTTGTGCTTTTGGAGCGATTCCTTTCTTGTGTCATAGGGGACACATGAGCTAGCCACCACATCAGTCTTGATTGGATTATAACAACCTCCTTCTAGACTGCAGGACTCAGTTCTCCCCCCACCCCCCGCTCCCAATCCATTCTCCCATTGCAACTAGTATGAGTGATCTGTATTTCTTTTAATTTTATATTATGAAAAAATGTAAACATAACTGGAAAGTAGAATAGTACTGTGAACTCCATACATCCATCACTCAGATTCAACAGTTATTAGGATTTGGCTACATTTGTTTCCCTTTTCCCTTTTTCATTTTTCTTTGTTGAAGTATTTTAAAGGAAATTCCAGACATCATGCCATATTATCCTAGCATACTTTAGTCTTAAAAAAAAAAAAAGATAATGGCCACAATGCCATTATCTCACACCATCCTAAATTAATTCTGATTCCTTGATTTTATCTAACAGGAATTGGTAGACTTCTGGGTCTGTGGTCTGTTTTTGTATGGCCTGCAAGCTGAGAATGGTTTTTACATTTTTAAAAGGATGTTAAAAAGCAAAGCAAAGAGAAAAAAAGGAAAAGAAAAGTAATAGAGTTGTATGTGGCCAACAAAACCTAAAATGTTTTCTGTCTGGCCCTTTACTAACTCCTGATTTGATCGAGTAAGTGATCTTTCAAAATGCATATCCGAGTTTGTCCCTCTTTGTCTAAAACCCCTCGGGATCAAGTCTGGACTCCTTAGTATGATGGGCAGAGCCTGGTGCAGCCCTTCTTTTTGCCCACTTATCCAGCTGTGCCTGCCATCTTCTGTTCCAGATGTCCAGAGGTGGTGGACACCAGCCCCTTTGCACCTGCTCTTCCCTCTGTTAGAACTATTCCTCTCTTCTTGAAGCTCTTCCTAGTTCTTTGAAGCAGAGTCTATCCCTACCCCTTCTTCCCTCATCTATGACTAGTGTCTGCCATTTTTATCGTGTTGGTTGTTTTCCTGCCAGACTCTCATACTAGTTTGCAAGTCCTTATTGGCCAGGACTTGTTTTATCCATCTCTGTGTCCCTAGGACTAGCCCAGTGGCTGCAGAGAAAAGTAGGATATGGATCATTATATAAGTTTGCTGGGTAACACTCAGTCGCAGAGATAACTGAGATACTAGAATGTATCTTCAGTAATGTTTGTAAGGATAACTTAATATTTTGTTATTCTCTTGACTGTCTTTACAATTTAGCAGCTGTCTTAGTCCTTGTGGGCTGCTATAACAAAATACCGCAGACTAAGTGGCTTATAAACAACAAATTTATTTTACATAGTTCTGGATGCTGGGAACTCCAAGACCAAGGCCCCAAGGGGTCTCTGTGGTATCTTTTTTCTAAGAACACTAATCCCATTCATGAAGGCTCCACTCTTCGTAACCTAAGTATCTCCCACAGACTTCCCACTTCTAATACCATCATTATGTTTTAGTGCTTTTCTGCCTGTGTTTTTGACTGAACTTTTCTTAGTCTTAGTATTGATTAATATGAATTTCATTGCAAACCATCTGTTTTCAATGAAGCTACATGTTTGTATTGCTCTGTTTTGATTTGTGGTTAAGGGGATTGGATGAACTACAATCAGATGATGGGAAACTCTGCTTCCACCCAAACAGAGGAGGTTAAGCAGGGCTAGAACAGGGAGACTCCTGGAGTCTGCCTAGGTTAGAGAGGTAAACAGTGAAGTATTTGTGATTTCATGTAGACCCGGCCAGTCAGCAGCCAATCAAACAAGGAATCCGAGAGGACATGAAGGGAACTGAGAATTAGCCTGTCAGAGAGAGGGGAAAGGGTCCATCTGGGTCAAGCATTAGTAAGTGTGGTGTCAGCAAGGGGTGAATTAGCATGGCCCCTTTGGTGTTTAGCAAGTCATTCCAGCTGGCCAGATGCAGAAGGCTTCAAGCACACTAGGTAGCCTGGGAACACCCACTGGGGAGTGTTCACGTGTGCATTTTACAAAATTCTTGACAGTTATTGGAAGAGAATTGGAAAGGGATAAGAACGAAGGTAGGGAGACTATGGCAGGAGTTCAGAAGGGAATTTAGGAGGGCTTAAACTAAGGCCCTAGCAGTGGAAATGGAGTGGGGGGTGGCGGCATGAGAACTGTGTAGGCAGTGGAATCAGCTGGTCTTAAGCGGTCTTTTGGATGTGGAGTGGTGAGGGAAAGAGAAGTGCCCGAGACAGGTGGATATGAGGCTCTATAAAATTGAAGAGAGGAGTGTGGGCCAGAGATGAGGTTCTACAAGACAGCTTGTAGGAGCCACGCATATATATGGGACTGCCCAGGGAGAGCATGTAGAGTCACAAGAGGAGAGGTTCAAGATGGGACAGGGAGCCAGGAACATCCAAGGGCTAGCAGGCGGGGGAGTCAGCACCTGGCCCTGAAGAAGCTAATGCAGCATGGTCTGAGTGGAAGAATTCAGATTAAATAGATGAGGCATGAGGGGAGACGGGACGTGAAGACCACTTTTCCAAGACACAACTGTGAACAGGAAGACAGGATGGCGAAAGCAGTACCTGGAGGGGAAGGTATAGTTGAGAGAATTTTAAATTTACATTTTGACATTTTTAAACTTTTTTTTGGAAATAATTTCAAATATGTAGAAAAATTTTAAGAGTAAGAATAGTGAAAAAAATACCCTTTACTCATTTACCTGTGGTTAACATTCTACTTCATTTTGTCTTCTCTCTCTTGCTCTTTCATGCATATCTATCCATCTGTTTATCTATCTATCTATCTATCTATTTTTTTCCTAAACCATTTGAGGGTAACTTACATACATCATGCATGGCCCTTTATCCCTAAACACTTCAGTGTATATTTATAGGGATATTCTCTTGCATAACTACAGTATAATTGTCAACTTGAATAAATTTAAATTTGACATTACTTTTGCCTAACTTATCATACATACTCCAGTTCCATCAGTTGGCACGATTATTTTTTATAAAGCTTGTCCCTTCACTACATATCCAGGTGAGGTCAGGTATTGAATTTGTGGTCAAATCTCTGCAGGCTTCTTTCATATGGAACATTTCTATAGCCTTTCTTTGTCTTTTATGAAAATGACATTTTTGAAGAATACAGATAGCTTTTAGTAGAATGTTCTTTATTTTGGATTTATCTGATCTACCTGATGTTTCCCTGTTTCATTTCAGGTAATGCATTCTTATAGGTGATGTGTCCTTCTCAGGGCATCACTTCTGGAAGCACATGATGTTTATCTGCCCCCACTGACAATATTAACTTAAGACCCCTAGCCAAGACTCTCCACTGTGTAATTACTATTTTACCCCTTGCGGTCTATGGGAGAATATTTTAAGACCATGCATATATCCTGCTCCTTGTCAGAATTTCTCCCTAGATTTAGAATCCATTGATAATTCTCCCCTGATCCAGTCTTTACCTTGATAGTTGCAGAAGGCTGAGTTTTTTCTTGCAACTCTACTACTGCCTCCACATTTACCAACCGGCCCTGGCATTCTGCTGTCAGCAAGAGGCCTCCCTTTCTCCCCTGTTTGTGCCTGTATGTACTCATGAAATCCTATTTTCAATGGCTTACAATTCTTTACATAATTATTATGGAGCCTAAATTCGATGTTGAAGCTGGGTCTTGTGCCCACATTTTTGTTTTGTTTTAAGCATCTCCTTATTTGCTGGCCTAACAGGATGTCTCAGCTCCTTTTGTACCTATCCTGCCCCCATCCTGGAATCCTCCTGCTTCCTTTTACTAGGCTATGGTAGTAGAGACACAGAACAAGATGCTAGATGTGTGCTTGTTAACTCAGGTATTTTTGTTTCTTAGCTGTCAGCAGACAGAGCTAGAGAATATATATACATTTACACATGTATACATACAAATTTAAATACATGTGAATATACATTTATATGATGTGCACATTTATATATAATTTAGAAATCATGAGTTCACACCAGTACCTCCAATTTGTCCACAAAGGGTTCTTTCTTATCTTCCCCTGTTCCATATCTTTATATTCCTTCTTCCTCCAGGAGGGCCCTGGCTCTCAACTAAATCGACACATTTACTCAGTCTCATAATAGATCTAAAATTGTTTCTGAATTGTTTTGCCCATTCCACTACAGAAAGCAAACCTGCTAAAAAGGATTGTTTGCAGCTCTTCCCCACTTCCCCCTCCAGCCTTCCCAAGACTGAGAGTATATAGTATAGTCACATACTATGTACCCAGGTGACATGGGTTAGTTCTTTGTTTCTTTTTTGTTTCCTTCTTGTTATGGTATTCATGTGAAACACAAATGAGTTAATTTGTTTCCACTTTCTGGTTTCACTTTCCCATTGTCCAGTTTTGTCACTGATTTAATTTTATTCTTTGAGTCTGCAGAACATGATCATGCTTCCGTGGGTAAAGACTATACAAAAAGCTGTACTCTGAGCATCTCTCTCCCCTCTCCCTTCTGTTCTGTTCCCCCACCCTACCCCTTATAGGTAACAGGCTTCACTGTTCTGTGGATTCTCACATTACTGAAAAGATAAGCAGCTGTGTGCTTGTTTTTTTTATTTTCTTACGTAGAATGTAGCATATATGCTTTTCTTCACTTTACAACCTATCATGGAAATTGCTTCCTATCAATTTATAGAAATATTCCTCATTCTTTTTTAGTTCTCCAGTGTGTATATGTGCTGTTGTAGTTTATTTAACCAGTCTTCTGTGCTTGGACGTGTAGGTAGTTTTCCAAATTTTGTAATTAAAAATAAGGCTACGATGAATAACTTTGTGCATATATACTTTTGTATTGTTGGAAGTGTATCTTTGGTTTGAATTCCTAGATGGGATTTCTCGATTAGAGAATAATGCATATATAGTTGTGTAGATATTGGCAAATTTCCTTCAACAGGGGTTATGCCAGTTTGCATTCCCAGTAATGGATGAGAATGCCTGTTTCCCCCAGCCTCACCCACAGAGCATATTGTTAAGTTTTTGAATATTTGCCAATCTGATAGATGAGAAAGGGGATCTTTGTATAGTTCTTATTTGCATTTCTCTTATTACGAGTGAAATTGAAAACATGTTTAAGGGCCATTTTAGTTTTTCTTTTTGTGAATTGTCTTCATGTCTTTTGCCCATTTTTCTGTAGGATTTTTAGACTCTTTTTCTTCAACTTTTAAAAATTCTTAGTATATTAGAGATATTATCACTTATATAAGCACTTATATATGATGTATGTTGCAAATATTTTCTTCCACCTTGTCATTTATTTGTTGATTTTACTTATGGTATTTTTGCCATGCAATTTTACTTTGATTTCTATATAGTCCAGTTTATTAATCTTTTCATTTATTGTATCTGGGTCATAGAAAACTTTCTCTATACTTAGGTTATGGAGGCATTCACCCATGTTTTCTTCTAGCATTTGTATAGTGTTTTTAATATTTAGAGATCTGCTACGTTTGGAGTTTATTCCTGTGAATGGTGTAAAGAATAGATCTAATTTTATTTTTTTCCAAATGGCTTTATACTTGTTCCAACACTATTAAAAAGACCGTTTTTGCCTCAATAATTTGATATACCATCTTTATCATATACTTGATTTCTTTGTGTAATTGGGATTATTCTGAATTTTTATTCTATTCTGTTTATTTATATACCAGTACCACACTGTTTTAGTTATAGCAGCCTTTTGGCATATTTAGATATCTAGTATGGTTAGTTCTCCTCCCTTGTAGCTCTTCCTTTTCTTTTTTTCCCCCTGACAAATTTTGTGGGTTTCCCTGGCAGTTTTAGGGGATTAGTTTTATGGCTGTAGAAACTTGAACATCTTTCTTTTCTCAGGGCTGAGGGTGAGTAGAGGTGGAGGGGCCAAGGCCAAAGGGAATGGATGGAGCAGTGTCTCTGATGTGATGGGAGCAGGATTCAGATGAACAGTGTGTTGCTGTTGATGGTCTGGAATTCCACTGCCCACCCAGTAGCACTCACATTTTAAATGGCATGGACTGCTCTGCCCAAGGAAGTAAAGAAAGGGAGCAAGGAACTAGGTCATGCCAGCATTTCTCAGTGACTTCTAATGATCTCTTACCTAATATTACTTAATAATCATTTTGTGAAGCTTTCTCAGAAGAACCACCTTTTTAAAATGTCTACTGAGTGATTCTTTGTTTTATCTTCCTGGTGATATTCTGGGTTCCTAGCTCCTCCTGTTCTGTAAATTTTAATTCAGAGTCCATCATTCCAATCCCATAAGCATAAGTTCGATCATGAGTGTGATTCTTTATATGTGTCTACTCCAGAGTATATATCTTACTTTTAGTGCCCTTGCTTTCTCGTTTCTGAGTAGAACTACAGAGTACCAACCAAGAGGGTCTGATACCCAGGGTAAGAGGGGAAGTCTGAATTTTAACTAAGTCTAATCACAAATGTCTAAATGTCTAAGGTTGGGGAACAACTAGTTTAGAACTGTTTCTTTTGTTCTCAAGAGTCAGTCTTTTAGCAGGTGGATGCTGATGGAGTGCCAGCTGTGTGTAGAGTGCCTTCAGGGGAACAGAGAGTCACTGCCTGGGCCCTAAAATCTGCTTTGAGAAGGGGTTTACCTTTCCCGAGTCCTGTGGATTATCCTCAGGTTGTAGCCCTGATCCAGTAACCTGACCTTGATTAAATAATAAAGTAGATGGTATGGCATATAGAACTACCCAAGTGACTGGCATTGTTCTCCATACCTTATATATGTTATTTAATGTAATACTCACAACAGTTCTGTTGCCCTCATTTTACAGATGAGGAAACTGTGGCATAAAGAGGTTAAATAACTTTCTTGAGGTCATACAGCTAGGTATTTGAACCTAGGCAGTATTATTATCCTTTGCTTGATGGTTTGTGTTTTAGCTTCTGATCTTTGATATGCTCTGACTGCAGTTAGCCCGTTCATAAAGTAGGAGTGAAAGCCTCTGCCTGGCAAGCCAGAGTGTGTTCTTCCATGTAGAGTTCCTCCCTGACTAACTGCTCTCCAGGGTCAGTGTTTTCCTTGGAAGGGAAATCTAGGAGGGCCACACCAATGACAGGCAGCAGCAGCTTGTTTTCTTTCTCAAGTCTGATGTGACTGTCCTCATGATTTCATAACCAATTCCCCAATACCTCTACTCATGTACTGATTTCTCCTTTAGTTTTGCTTGCCTGCCCTCTGCTGATTATGTCTTCTTAGCTTTTGTTTTATTACTCTTTCAGTCTCCTATTTTTCAGAAATTACTTCTACCCACTGTTTGTTTTTCCAAGACTAGGTGGCATTTTTCAGAAACTGATCAATGTTACCTTTGGTTCTGTGCGTCATTCCAACCCGTTTCAACTTGCCCTCATGCTAAGCTGTTATGCAAGAATAGAAAAGCTCTCTGTTCCATTGACAATCCAGGGCTCTAGCATTTTAGCATTAGCTCCAGAGGGACAGAAATTTTGGCATGTCCACCACTGTATCCCCAGCAGTTAAAAATGGTACCTATCACACAGCATGTAGTCAATAAACATTTGTTGAGTGAATGAGTGAATTTGGATGTAATTCCTTCAGTTTCTTCTAAAGTGAAGGTATCATTTTCATTTTCTTGGTTTAGTGTCACATTTGAAGACGAGGGGCACTGAGGATGAGGAATCAACTGAAAAGTGTGAAAATATTGGAAATGCAGAATCTGTGTGGCCAAAAATGGAAGGTCTTCACAAGGATCATATGCAGGAATCTAAGGTTGGTGAAACTTGTGATTGGGATAGCAAGGTAGAGAATCAGATGGAAAAGCCTGAGGGAAAAAGAATGAAGGAAGAGAAAAGTGGCATCAGGGAAAAGATTGGCAAAACCAAGAATACAGCAAATATAAAGACAGAACATGAAGATGAGGCATCTGAGAAAAGCTTACATCTGAGCTCAAAACATGTTACACACCAACCTGTCTGTATAGAACAGAAAAGCAGTGAACAAGGCAAATGTGTGGAGAGCATTAATGGAAACTCTCATCCCATTCTACAGCAGAAAACCAGTGCTGTTAAGAAATCACATAAATGTGATGACTGTGGGAAATCCTTCAAATATAATTCCCGACTTGTTCAACATAAAATTATGCACACTGGTGAAAAACGCTATGAGTGTGATGACTGTGGGGGGACTTTCCGGAGCAGCTCGAGCCTTCGAGTCCACAAGCGGATCCATACTGGGGAGAAGCCGTACAAGTGTGAGGAATGTGGGAAAGCCTACATGTCCTACTCCAGCCTTATAAACCACAAAAGCACCCATTCTGGGGAAAAGAACTGTAAGTGTGATGAGTGTGGAAAATCCTTCAATTATAGCTCTGTTTTGGACCAGCATAAAAGGATCCACACTGGGGAGAAGCCCTATGAATGTGGTGAGTGTGGGAAGGCCTTCAGGAACAGCTCTGGTCTCAGAGTCCACAAAAGGATCCACACAGGTGAGAAGCCCTATGAATGTGACATCTGTGGGAAAACCTTCAGTAATAGCTCTGGCCTTAGAGTCCACAAAAGGATTCACACAGGGGAGAAGCCCTATGAATGTGATGAGTGTGGGAAGGCCTTCATTACTTGCAGAACACTTCTAAATCATAAAAGCATCCACTTTGGAGATAAACCTTATAAATGTGATGAGTGTGAGAAATCGTTTAATTATAGCTCTCTCCTCATTCAGCATAAAGTCATCCACACTGGAGAGAAACCTTATGAATGTGATGAATGTGGAAAGGCCTTCAGGAACAGCTCAGGCCTTATAGTGCATAAAAGGATCCACACAGGAGAGAAACCTTACAAATGTGATGTCTGTGGCAAAGCATTCAGCTATAGCTCAGGCCTTGCAGTCCATAAAAGCATTCACCCTGGGAAGAAAGCCCATGAATGTAAGGAGTGTGGAAAATCATTCAGTTATAACTCACTTCTTCTTCAGCATAAAACAATTCACACTGGAGAGAGACCTTATGTATGTGATGTGTGTGGAAAAACTTTCAGAAACAATTCAGGACTCAAAGTCCACAGGCGGCTTCATACTGGGGAAAAACCATATAAGTGTGATGTGTGTGGAAAAGCCTATATCTCACGCTCTAGCCTTAAAAACCACAAAGGAATCCATCTTGGGGAGAAGCCCTATAAATGTAGTTATTGTGAGAAATCCTTCAATTACAGCTCTGCCCTTGAACAGCATAAAAGGATTCATACAAGGGAGAAACCCTTTGGGTGTGATGAGTGTGGAAAAGCCTTCAGAAATAATTCAGGCCTTAAAGTACATAAACGAATCCACACTGGGGAGAGACCTTACAAATGTGAAGAATGTGGGAAAGCCTACATCTCACTCTCAAGCCTTATAAATCATAAAAGTGTACACCCTGGGGAAAAGCCCTATAAGTGTGATGAGTGTGAAAAAGCCTTCATCACATACCGAACCCTTATAAATCACAAAAAAATTCATCTTGGGGAGAAGCCCTACAAATGCGATGTGTGTGAGAAATCTTTTAATTACACCTCACTCCTTTCTCAACACAGAAGGGTCCACACTAGAGAGAAACCTTATGAATGTGACAGGTGTGAGAAGGTCTTCAGAAACAACTCAAGCCTTAAAGTGCATAAAAGAATCCATACTGGTGAGAAGCCCTATGAATGTGACGTGTGTGGAAAAGCGTACATCTCACACTCAAGCCTTATTAACCATAAAAGTACCCACCCTGGCAAGACACCCTACACGTGTGATGAATGTGGAAAAGCTTTTTTCTCAAGCAGAACTCTTATAAGCCATAAAAGAGTCCATCTTGGGGAGAAACCCTTCAAATGTGTTGAGTGTGGGAAATCTTTTAGTTACAGCTCTCTCCTTTCTCAACACAAAAGGATCCATACAGGGGAAAAACCCTATGTGTGCGATAGGTGTGGGAAGGCATTCAGGAACAGCTCAGGCCTCACAGTGCATAGAAGGATCCACACAGGTGAGAAACCCTATAGATGTGATGAGTGTGGGAAGGCATACATCTCACACTCAAGTCTTATCAACCATAAAGGTGTCCACAGTGGGCAGCAGCCGTATAATTGTGAGTGTGGGAAATCCTTCAATTACAGATCGGTCCTTGACCAACACAAAAGGATCCACACTGGAAAGAAGCCATACCAATGTAACGAGTGTGGGAAGGCTTTCAATATCAGATCGAATCTCACCAAGCATAAAAGAACCCATATTGGGGAGGAATCTTTAAATGTAACAAATATGGGAAGTCATAGTAGCGCATCACAGAAGAGAACTCACGAGGGAGGGAATGCTCTTGGTGGGACCAGGATGAGCATGTCTCTGTAGGAGGCAGAGCTTATCTAGTATTAGAGAACCCAAATGGAAGAAAAATCTTATAAGAGTGTCTGAGGTCCTTGTTCATGGCTTATAGTTTATGTAGTATAAGTGAAACCATGAGTAATTTTTTTCTCTGTGATTTTCAATCATAGCCAGGAAGGAAGGTTCCAGTGTCAAAGTAGTTGAGCCCTTATGGAATATAAAATAGTTCGTACTGGGGATAAAACCTATCAAAGTTATGGAGTATGAGAAAACCTTCAAAATAAGTAGATATTTCTGGACATAAAAAACACAAATGAGAAAAAGACTTCAATTAGAAGTCTCATAGTCACCATCAGAAAGTTCATATTTGGGTAAATTATGTGAATAGAAATGTAGGAAATTCAGGTATAGCTTTGAATTCCAATTATCCATTGGTCAGTGGAAAAGATCCAAGAAGGACCTCCAGTAGGCAAATTCAGGGAGAGGCAGGCTTCAGGGAATATAAATTAATATCATAGTGGTCATGAAGAATAACTTTGATTTAACTGATTTTCGGGGAGTGATGACAACTTCTGAAATAAAATTTGGATTTCATTGTAGGAAATGTAAAAAGTGTAGACGTATAAATCTAACAGGAGATAGAAGAGAGTCACTCATAAATAAATTCAAGTTGATTGGACTGTTGTAATGTTGTGCTATACATTATTGAATGGGTGAAACTTTAAAATTTTTCAAATGAACCCTCAATGAATGATGAATGTGTGATAAGTGAAAACCTCACACATTATGCTACAAATGAAGAGTTATACCATGGACAGAAATTCAGCACATTCAATAACTAATGGAACACATCTTCAACATGAATTTGTACCTTACACAAAAAGAATTGATTCAGGGATTCCTATGAATAGGAATGATGAGAAGGAGAGCATTTTATTGCAAGAGCTAAAAAGCTAAGTAGCTACCAGTAATGGAGGAATAGGAGGAAATTCATGCTTCTTAACAATCCTGTTAAATGTTTGATTGTGTTACTGTAAAGATTTCATGCACTGCGTGTGTGTATCGTCTGTTGTAAAATGTTGTGAATACTTTATTCAGGGCTCACTCTCGGCCATGAAGAGCCAGATAGTTGTGGCAAGGTAAGGTGAAACTCCAATAAAGGAATTCTTCAAAAGTAAACAGGCTGTTACATACTTTAGGTGGAGCATCATACAGAGAGAGCCATTTGTGTGTCTTTGGGGGGTAAGTTATACCAGATCCAAACCAAGGAGTGCCCAGGGGACTCATCTCACAGGGCTAGTAGCTCACATTTCATGAGAAATTAGGTTGTGCCTCCACCAGGAGAAGTGCAAATTGGATTAATCCTCATACTAGGGCTGGATCATAACCCCTGGGAGTGGACAGGCTGTGTGAGTGAGGAGTCACAACAGAGAAACAGTTCTCTTGGGAACAGATAGAATTTAACAAAATATTGTTAACTATGTGTAAGACTGTTAACTAGGTAACCCAAAGAGTGAAAAGCAAAGTCTTCTGAGAAGTCAAGTCTGAGAATACTCCAGGTGGGGCTTATCAGTAGAGACGGAGTTGTAAGTCAGGTCTCTCTGGCTCCAAAATCCACTCTTTACAAGAGAATAGTCTCTGGACAGATAGTTTTCTGATTCTCTCTAGGATTCCTGTTTCCAAACATACAGTTTCCATACCTCTCTTTAGAAGTATTTCTTTCACTTTGCCTCCAAACAAGGTAAGTTTTGATGGAGGAGGGTGGAGGTGGGGGAGGGATGGTTGTAGAAAAGGGAGAGGGAAAGAGCATTTCTGCCACTCAATTTCACTTTGAAATGTCATGACCACACTTGCTCTTTGTCCTTCTCTACATGCAGCACTGGCAAACCTGACCCTATCCACAGACTTAGATTAGTGTATTCAGCAAATACTTGTTGAGGATCTGCTAGGCGTATCCATTGTGCTAGGTACTAGGAAGCAGGAGTAGGTAGAGGAGAGAGACCCACAGCAAAGCCACCCTAATGGATGCTGAACTAAACTGTGGGCTTTCCAAGGAAAGTGACTTCCACCTACTGGGAAGGGAGGCACCGATGACATCTGAGCAGGATGTTGAGTTGGGTCCTTTTAAGAGAAGAATGGGAAAAATAGGATGGCCTGATCAAAGGGAGCGTTGGAAACACTCATGCATTGTCCAGAGTGGCCAGTCCCTGGCAGTTCTGGTGTACAGTGGGCAGAAAGGAAAGAGGCCATGGAGTATTGATTCCCAGTGGTCACTGAGCATCGACCAATCTTTTCATTGGCTGAATATAGGGCCAGCTCTAACTGTTTTAGATGATCAGGTTACTTAAGGTTTCCATGTGGCCAGAGCTGTTGGTGTGCTTGTGGCTCGAAGTCCCCAATCCCCTCACACACACACATCTACATGAGCTCCACCTGGACCTAATGTGTCACCTACTTTTGAAAGAGACACAGGTTAAATAACAAGGGAGAAGACAGCTACCACAGGAATGGGGATTCTGAGTGCCCCAGCCCACTGAGCACCTCCTCGTGCTCATGTTCCTACTACAGCCTCCATTGACTTGGACACATGGAAAATGGGCCCACAGTCTACCTAGGGCCAGATATGTGCTTCTTGGACTGATCCCAGATGAGGAGGGGTCTTCAGGTCTCCAGCCACTCCAGGCAGACTGTGAAGAACAGATCCAGTGAGCTGGTGCAGCTGCATCTGTTCAAGGCCACCTCAGGACTTGAGCTGGTTTAGGGACCACCAGCCACCACCACCTCCCAGAGGACGTCTGACATGCAAGAAAAATAAAATTGCCAAGGTGTAGGTAAATTGAAACACTGTGTTTTTTAAAATGCCATGTCTAATTCTCAAGGCTAAAAGATAAATAGAATTGGAATATTGGACAATAGTAGGTAAATTGGAAGCTGGGACACCTGTGTGAAAGCAGGCTGAAGTGCTTGTATTATTTAGGAGGAGGGTGAAGATGCTGTTTAACTCTAGATTTTATTGAGTTAAATATGGTAAAATGTCATGGGCAAGCACTAGAAGGATAGAAATAAAGTATATAAATCTAAAAATCTTGACTGGAAAATCTCAAAGTCTAGAAAGGAAAAAATGATGTTGAAAAGGTGAGACAGTACTTTGTTTCTGGTGAAGGTAGTCTAGGTTCTTTGGATCAGTTTCCCACCTGTTTTTTAAAATGCAGGTGGTGTGCCCTCCCTTCCCCTTAAAAGAGCGTGGAGGCTGAAAAGACTGCAGTTGAAACAGGTAGGGCTGTTTTAAGGTGGGATCTCGTCATCAGAGGTGAACACCAAAGCAGCTTAGGCCGCAGACTTTGCTGATGATGCAGAGTTAGGCACCACTTCACCAGCCACAGAGAGTGAGAGAGAGAGGATGATAGGGCCAGGTTCACCCAAGGTGATGAATCTTATAGGTGACTCTTCTGAAGTTAAACTGGGTTCCCAGAGTATTACACCGTCAGGACGAAAAACCCAAATCTAGACCCATCCCCCTCCCCACCCCCAGGGTACTTTAGAGACTGACCTCCTTACGGAGCAAAGCAATAGGATTGAAGAAAAAGAGAAAAGAGAACATCCTGACAATTTGTGGTCCCTGACCAGCCCTTACAACCCGGGTAAACACAACTTGAGCCCTGGCAGAAGCAAATAAAAGTTCCTCAGAAGAGGACTCCTTCAATTTAGACCTCAGGTAACAATTTTTCAGGGGAAGTCGTCAGCAAGCAGTCAAAGATAATCAGGCATATAAGGAAAAAAGGCAGCACGGCTGGAAACCAGCAGAAAAACAGATCCACATAGATGTCACATTAGAATTATTCGGTGCGTTTGTGAAAACGACCGCTTAAAATATTTAAAGATGTATTTGGCAACAGATTGTGAAACAGGAGGAATGAGAATTGGTGAGCTGAAAGATAGGTTTGAAGTAGTTATCCAGAATGCAGCATGGAGATGGAGAAATATGGGAAAACTCAGAAAGATGGGATGGTCTCACTAGGAAGTTTTAACATATATTTAACCACAGTCTTAGAAGGCAAAGACAAAAGAAAAGGGACAAAGGTAATTGGGCTGAGAATATTCCAGAACTGATGAAAAATAACAGGTCTATAGATTTAAAAGCTCAAAGAATACAAATTAGGATAAATTTACAAAGTCATATCTATGTGCATCATAGTGCAACTGCAGGAAATCAAAGAAAAAAATTAACAGCCGAAGATTTAAAAATTACCTTCAAAGGAACAGACTTCTCAACAGCAACAATGGAAGCCAAATGAGTGGAATGAAAATGTCAGTATATAGGTAGAAAATAACTGTCAACCTAGAATTTTATACCTGATGAAGGTATCTGTTATGAATGAGGACAAAATAAGCACATTTTAAGACAATTTGTTCCATTCATTCCCTGCTGACCCTCACTAAAGGAAATTTTAAAGAATGCACTTTAATATAGAAGGAAAGTGATCCCAGGTGGGGTTTTGAGATGCAAAAAGAAAGAACAAAATAGGTGAGCAAATGTAATAACATTTTATACCAAACAATAAAAACGTAGAGTTGTTAAGATAGGCTTAAAATACCAGACAAGACTGATAAATAAGAGAGAGTAAAAAGGATTGAGGTATTAGGGTGAAGGTTTTGGTTACTCTCGTGAATATTGTAAAATCTAGAGGAATCATAAAAATACAACATATAATTTCAATACTAGTAGAAAATTTTAAGCAGAAAGGTAAATTTAAAAAGAGGGGTGACACTACTGGGCATATACCCTGAGAAAACCATAATTCAAAAAGAGTCATGTACCAAAATGTTCATTGCAGCTCTCTTTACAATAGCCAGGACATGGAAGCAACCTAAGTGTCCATCATCGGTTGAATGGATAAAGAAGATGTGGCACATATATACAATGGAATATTACTCAGCCATAAGACGAAACGAAATTGAGATATTTGTAGTGAGGTGGATGGACCTAGAGTCTGTCATACAGAGTGAAGTAAGTCAGAAAGAGAAAAACAAATACCCTATGCTCACAC